GCCTATTGTAGATCTCTGGAGGGATCTGAAACTTGGCTGCCTGCCGACCGTCGTTATCCAACTTGAGTGACCTTGAGAGGATTTGCAAGGAAGAATGGAGGAAAATCCTCCAATCCAGGTGTGCAAAGCTTGTTGTGTCATACCCCAAGAGACTCAAGGCTGTAATTGATGCCAAAGTGCTTCAACAAAGTACTGAGTGAAGGGTCTGGATACTTATACTAATGTGATATTTCAGTTTTTTCTTTTTAATAAATTTACAGATATTTCTAAAATTCTGTTTTCATTTTGTCGTTATGGGGTACTGAGTGTAGATTAATGAGGAAAAAAAATTGAATTTCAGCAGGCTGCAGCATAACAAAATTGGCAAAAGTGAAGGGGGGAGTCTGAATATTTTCTGAATGCACTGTATATATTAAAGCACACAGTGAAGGTCCTATACTGTATGGCTTCAGAAATGTATATTTCCCCAGGCTCAATTGATCACATCCCAGTACACTGCAGAATGTACAAATCTTTATCATTGTTATCTCTGTGACACTTTTTCTTTGGCTTCTTTGCTTTTGCTTATCAACTTTTAGCTTTGAGATGCTAGATTCAAAGAAACAGGGAGATAAGAAAACTTTCGTTTGCTTTATCTTATCTTGTCCTTCCTCACCCTCATCCAATATGCAAGCCTACATTACAGGGCTGTGGGAAAAAAATGATACAGTCACAGTGCCTTCAAATGAACCAATATTTATTTACACACTGCTGCTGTGTTAGTCAGGCAGGATCTCAATCAAGGGAAAACCTTTACTTTAGAGAGTTAGGAATGAATCAGCTCATATTTGTTCACAATAACACAACTGGCTTGTCGGCATCCATCCTTCCAAGGTGGGTAAAATGAGGATCCAGATTGTTGGGGGCAATATGGTGACTCTGTAAACCGCTTAGAGAGGGCTGTAAAGCACTATGAAGTGGTATACAAGTCTAAGGGCTATTGCTATCTCCTAATGACTAACTGCTAAACAACTTAAGATCTGCTTTAAGAGATTTTATATATATTTTTCTGACCATAAGGCTACATAAAAAAATAATATCTAGGTTTTTTTTTTTCTGAATAAGGTCAAGCTGGTGCACATCATTCTCATTTTAACCTTAAACACTTTAAAATGAGAATATCAATTCTGCCTTTTAGGCTGCTTTTACTGTCTATTCCTTCAGTTTGTTCTAAACTAGGTTTTTATGTGGAAAGTATCATTTGAAATGAATAAACTGAAGTCCCACTCTGTGAGGATGTTTTGGAAAAAATGATCATGCTGCCTTTCAGGTACCAAACATTACTGCAAGATTTTAATAACATGAGAGCATACATGAAAATATAAACAAACACTAGGAAGTTTACAGCAGAAGACAGCACATCTTGTATATATATCTTGGAATTCAGAAATGTTTGGACATTTTTCCCACGCTTACTGAAAACACATATATCAAAAAGAAGACAAGACAAGACTCCCAAAATAATTTAGACTGTATTCTGTTTAAAGGAATCCAGAAAGATGAATTAGCTAATCGTTCTTCTGCCTATTAAGGACATACCTAATTTTCACAGGGACACCTAAACCCTGGATGAACTGGTACAAGAAGAAAAAGAAGGTTCCTATAGATACAGGTTTTGGGGGTTTTTTTAAGAAGAGAAGCTGCCAAGTTGTCAAGATTTTCTGGAAATTTCCTTAATTCTCAACAGACTCTGTTGCCAAGTAGGAAGAAGCTGAAGGGAGATGCCTGGGAAAGATCAAGGATAGGATATGAGAAAAAAAATGAAATCCACAGTGAATGGACACCTGACAGAGCACTGGTGGTGATGGAGGCAATTTATTAATACTGATAAGGGCTGCTAATTAATTCATCAATACTATCAGGGATGCTTGGAAGTCATGTGGTAGCCTTTTACACTTGGTCCTTGACCTACAGCCCCATCACTTAACAATTGTATGAAATTATGATGAACTTCTCTGGGGATTGGGCGGCACGATGGTTCAGCGGTTAAGATGCTGAGCTTGTCAGCTAGAAAGCCGGCAGCCCAGATTTGAGACATGAGCACCACAGAACAGTATGGGCTCCCGTCCTCACCACAGCTCCCGCCAACCTAGCAGTTTGAAAGCATGTAAGTGCAAGTAGATAAATAGGTACCACTTTGGGGGGGAAGGGAACAGTGCTCTATGACATCATGCTGGCCACATGACTGTGGAAATGTCTTCGGACAGCATTGCTGGCTCAATGGTCTTGAAACGGAGGTGAGGACCGACCCCCACAGTCAGCAATGACTAGCTGAGTAAAATCCTCAGGACTCCTCAGGGGGAGGGCAGGATCTTATGCCTGAATGATATGACAATGAAGGGATGGTTGATAGCAATAGCAATAAGCACTTAGACGGATATACCGCCCCATATCGCTTTACAGCACTCTCTGGGCAGTTTGCAATGTCAGCGTATTGCCCCCCACAATCTGGGTCCTCATTTTACTGACCTCGGAAGGATGGAAGGTTGAGTCACCCTCGAGCCCCATCAGGATCAAACTCCAAGTTAGGCTGCAATACTGCGTTCTAACCACTGTGCCTCCAGGGCCCTTGATGGTTGTTTCTGTATTAGATTTCATGAATTCTTATGCAAGATGCTTTCGTAAGCTGCTTTCAAAGCCACTGGGGCTATAAAATAGATATCAATTTTTTTCATTTTAAAAATCTACTATCCCAATAAGGTTTATCTATCACAATATTCTTCGCTGAAATGAAGTTTTGACTGGAGTCCGCAATCAGCTGATTAAGCAATCAAAGTTATACAAGCTGTAAAAATTCAGAAATGCTACGTATGAAAAACAAAGAGTTGTACCAATATCCAGATGTTTCAAATCTGGTCCCTGCCAGCAACCATAATCTAAAGCAGCAACTACACACACTGTATTTAATCATTTTTTCCCTACCCCACAGGAGATGCAATCAAAGCAATTTGTTAAGCCTTTTCTCTTCCAAATGGGAAAGCAACAAGCTTGTGTGCAGACCATCCCTTTTGCACACATACTAGCACACATCAAGGCAAGTGATTAAAGAGAAGGTTCTTTCAATGGTTCAAGGGAGTTTATTATTAGGGCAACAAGATAATTTTGGGGGAATGGGGAAAGGAGAGAGAGAGAAAATAATTGCCTTTACTCCATACGCACAATATATTTACTCTGCATTTGCAATAATCAATGTACAGTACAAGAATGATTTGCATCCAAATGCTACAGTGAGGGTGCAAACATATAATCTAGGGATATGCATAGCTTGACAGCATCCCTTTGATGGCCCCAAGAGTTCCTTCCCCAGAATGTGTGAGACTGACATTTTCAGTCTTCTTCTCTTTTTCAGTTAGGGTGGAAAATGAGTGCCAAATGCTATGGAAATACTTAACATGAGCATTTGATCCCTAAAATCCCCCAACAAAACAAAACAAAATCTGCCCCTGCTCACTTCTGAAATACCAATTTGGTACTATGGTATGTCGCTTAAAGTGTCACAGTTACAGGAGTTCTATACTCCTTTGTCACAAGGGTCAGTTGTTCCTATCAAGTATTGCATCTAGCCATCCATCTGTCACTGTCTCCCTTCCCATTTTTCCCAGAAAAAATAATTGTCCAAAGGCTCTTGAAGACATGTCCATCAGCATGCCCACCAAAGCACTTCCTTGCTATGAAGAAGCTGCCCACTCATGTATTAGAACAAATCTCAGGAATTGCAGAGCTCAGGAATTTTATACACATATACTGTACACATATTTAATTTTAGCAATTCTTTCACAAACTTTGAGTCTGGATACTGATGTCTGTTAAGCCAGTCTCTTCCAGTTCTAATTTTCATTTAAAATATAGGCATTGATCAGCATTTGAAAAGAAAGTCAGACTTCTTCCAACTTGCAAAATAATCATTACAACTTAATGATACAAAGAACACTCATAATCTCTACTTCCAATAATTTTTTAAAGATGATAATACAGTGATTAATTCAACAATGTCTGTAACTCTGATTTCTTTCTCTCAATCACCTAACAATCAAGTAACCTCAATGAAGAGTTCAGCTGCAAGGATGTTTAAATTTGTTTTGTGAATCACCAGAAATAAAGCTGAGAACCACTATGGCTAAAGCAATCATCTCTAAATAAAATCAGTACAATAAACGAAACCTAAAATATCAATAAATCATCTTCTGTTGACCTTTATGTTTCAAACTCAAGAAGCATCACCATGTTAAAGCTCTGCATTTACTGCAGCAGTAAAAACAAAACAAATTTAAAAACCACAACTGTTCAATGCTCTGTTCATTCTGAATGTGGACAATCACAGAATTTATGTTACCCTGAATAACTATGAACTATGAAAAGTCAAGGCTGTCCATATTGCAAAGTTATTGAGTGGATTTCCTGAGACAAATTAAGTCACAAATGTCACTGTTTGATACAGGCACTTCAGCTGCTGAAAACATTTCTAAGAAGTGTGCTTGGGAAATGGAGGTTATGGAATACAAGAGGGGCTTACAGCATTGACTTTACTGTCAGGTGCAAGCAAACAGATCCACACATGCAGAGTTCAAGCTAATACTTCATCATATTCTGCTTATTACACAGAAATCTCCCCAGACTGCTTGCTTTCTCTTGGGAATAGAAAGATAAGACTCTATGGAGCTGGGATAGGGTGTGGGTGGTCAGTCCCGGACCTCTTGTGGTTGCACAACAATTCAAGGCTGTGTTAGCAACCTGCCTTGAGTCCACCTGCCTGCCTAGCTGGGTACTAGAATGATTCAAAGCCTTACGGAATCAAAGTGACAATAGATCTGTAGCAACCAAACAAGGCAGTGAGGATAAGTATTTCCTTAACTCACAACTACAATCTAGTTAGCCAATATTAAAGCTATGAGAGAGAGAGAGAGAGACAGACAGACAGACAGACAGACAGACAGAGGGGTCAGGACGAGAAGGTAACATACCTTGTGACAAGTTTCAGTTTTAATTTCTTTGAGAGCGCGTTCGGAAAACACACATCCACAGTTACGTAGGAAGCAAAAGCTGAGAAAACCAAAGGAAAAGATTAAGTAGATTGAACACATAGGTCTTAGTCCGGCTAAATCAGTGGCTCCCAACCTTTTCTATACCCCGCACCCCTAGAACGCTTCTGATATATTCTCGCACCCTTTACAAATGTTCGAAATAAAGGCAATGAATTATGCACATACACTATAATTTTGAAAACTCAAGTTTTCGCACTCCCTGGAATATTGTCTCGCACCCCCGGTTGGGAACCCCTGAGCTAAAGCAACTCTGACTAGAAGAGCAATCCTATACAGGTAGTCCTCAAATTATGACCACAACTGAGCCCAAAATTTCTGTTGCTAAATGAGACATTTGTTAAGTGAGTTTGGCCCCATTTTACGACCTTGCTTGCCACAGTTGTTAAGTGAATCACTACAGCTGTTAAGTTAGTAACAGGGTTGTTAAGTGAATCTGGCTTCCCAATTAACTTTGTCAGGTCAGAAAAGGTGATACCATGACCCCAGGACACTGCAACCGTCCTAAGTATGAGTCAGTTGCCAAAGCATCTGAATTCAGAAAGAAGTCACTTCTTTCATTCCATTGTAACTTTGAATGGTCATTAAATGAATTGTTGTAAGTCGACGACTACCTGTATATTTTAAGCTAGTAACAAGACCTACAGAATTCATGCATACTTATTTCTATGAAAACATGTATGGGATTCACACTGCAGATAATGTGACACAGGCTAATTTTTAATCAATACACTATTTGTTTCAAAGATATCCTAGTTGCAATGTTGTATACTCCTTGTTAGGAATTAAATCTTGTTGCGAGGCTGAATTTTCTAAGCAAATCTCTGACCAGCAACAATTGGCAGATGGAGTAGGGAAGTTGTATCCTATTGCAGCAAAATTTTCCCCAGAGCTTACTGAACAGACAAAACAAGGGAATATTACTCCCACACTCCATTTTAATATGGTGCAGGCATAATATAAATAATGCTCATATTCTTACCAGATGAAGTTTCTGGGAAATCAAATATGAACACTATTTTTAAAAATATTTTCAACAAGCTTAATCAACTACTTGCTTTTGAAAAGTATGGCTTTTGGTGCATGATCAACTCAGAAACTTTTACTTTCTATTTGCATTCAGAAAAAATATTTTATGTTTTTGGCAAAACCACCAGTTGATCTTTCTGTACTTCCCAGAATACTTGTGTAGTTAACATAGGTTAATATGTGGTAATATGAATCTTTTAAGAAAAAAAAACATTGCAAGACTACAATATTTGCTGTTGCGTTTCAGTACACTAATAAACACCAGTGCCTCTTTACTTCCATCAACATGGATGTTTTTTTAGATTTAACATTTTCTTTGCCAATTGTTAAAATATTGGGTAACAGATAGATCCAGACATTTCAGACCTAAGCCTGTAAGTCATTCTTGGATGAGATTCACAAACATTCATCAATAAATTTGATTTCTCCAATAATGTAAAGATTTTGATAATGGTTTGTATTTGCAAAAAAGCTCTATTGAATACACTGAGAGATAACTGTACAGCAACAAGTTCTAAGGCTGCCATAAACAACCTACTGTAAATACTAAAGACTGCACAATAATATGTTATGTTTGGCTTACAGTGAAGGGAAAGGGGGGAGGGGTTAACAAGGATATGAATAAGGGACAGCCAAGCATGATAGCATTTTCCAGGACCTAACAGTAAAACCAGTGAGAATGGTGCTAACTGCCGCATATGTTTATTTCTGAAAAAGTGTATTCAAAAGTAATTGGGAATCTGGCAGTTTTTTATGTTTGTGAGAACAGAAAGACGCAGGAAGGGGGGAAAATGTAAGATCACCTTCAGTGTGTATTTTCTGACTCATTTGGAGTTTCTAATTTATATCTACATTACTCTTCATTTTAACACACAATTGTATAATTAGATAATCAATTTCATAATTTATACTACTGATAATAAATGATCTGCATTTGCCTTGAAGCCGTTTGGTGTTATATTACAGGGTTTTTTTAAACTATGCTCCATGGAGTTCATAAGAGACTAAAGACAAAAGATGAATAGAAGAAGAGAGTTCACTCAAGTACAACCAATTTCCCAGTTTATTAATTTTGCTCCTTCTCTAGCAGTTCCAGAATTCCTTTAATATAATTTTTTAATTAAAAAATAATCCAATCAAACCCGTCAAGCGAACAATTGGCTATTTAGTGCAATCATTGTGGTTTTTGTTGTGTACATTAGAGGAATTTCTACCTGACAGAATTAGAACTTTCAATCATTGTTTAAAAATATCATGATAGATGTTTTCTGAATTGGAACAGAGATGGAGAGAGGCAATTGTGTCTCAATTCACCCCACTGGGTAGAGTCCTTAGTGCTCTCTGAGTTTGGTTGTTCGTTGTCTCTACCTTTTAATCAGGATTCCATGCGTCATTCAAACAAATCTTACCACAGATTTGTACACAAGCAATTTCATATTAACAGTTTTATACTTAATTTTTTTCTAATGATATCTGACATGGAATATTGTTTTTCACAGGGATATTATTTTCACTCAGCTATTTATTACTACCTCATCAAACACTTGGAGTCATACATAATCATATTTTTTTGCATTTGTATGTATTACTTCTATTAAACAGTTTTTATAACATTGGCATTCACTTACACTTTATATCTTCTATTTTCATAGTTTGGAAGATCATGGAACAGAACAAGCAATCTTTTTATGAAAAAGGCCACACTTAAAAAAGGGCAGCAAAGCATATGATTTATAACCTAATTAAAATGGACATACTTACCGATGCCTTCCATTCATTTCCAATCCAACTACAGGGCAAATAAAACGTGCACTTTGGATATCAGCATATTTATCTCCTTTTGTATTACCCTTATCACCAGTCCAAGCTGGATTGTCTGAGAGATTCAATTCTATGACATTCTGCAAGAAATGAACAATACGTTATATAACTTGATTTGACACTATGATAAAGGAAGTATCATCTAAATTGGAAGACAACAGTAGAGTATGAAAAATACAAATATTCTAGAACAAAATATATAGGATATATATGCAAGCAGGCAGTTTCTGGCAAGTGAGTGACATCACACTTAATAGAAAGCATTCTATGTTCCTGATGATGTGCTATGGCTTCAGCATTGCTAGGAGTGATTCTAATATATAGTACAGCTTTTAGGATCACCTCCCTTTTCTTTCAGCAAGTTAAGAAAGGGATAATAGAACTGTTTCTAACTTCAGGCCAAGTCTGAAGCGGGACTGGCCTAGGGGAATTTTTAGAAGGGTTTTATTCATATTTTAATTAGACAACATTTAAATATTTCTTTTTAATTAATTTTAAATTTTGTAATTGTTTTTGATGTATTTTTAAATTGATTGTCAGCCGCCCTGAGTCCGCAAGGAGAAGGGCGGGATATAAATTCAATAAATAATAATAATAATAATAATAATAAGACAATGTCTGTGGGAAACAGGCAGTTTCTGGTGATAAAAGCATTTTTCTTGAATTAGGTTAAACAACATCAATGGACCTTTATAAGTTTAAAAGGGTCTGATTCTGGAAAAAAGTATGAGAGAAAGAGAAAAATCAGTCTTTACAGGAAGAATTATGACTGTGTTTAGGCATAAGAAGCAAAAAGAAGGCAGCATAGGTAAAAAGCAGCAGCCTGACAGTATATATTTACGTCACAGAAGCAAAAAAGAAACATGTTGGTGTTTGTTTTTGGAAGAAAATGCATCTCACATATCCCCATTTTTTAAATAAAAAAACATACTGCATAAATAAGATGCTTCAGAGTTTCATTAATATCAAGGAAGTTTATGTCAAGAAAATAAAGAGGAATTTTGTGGCTGTCTGCTTAACTTGTATATTATAATCATTAACATGTATTTTAAACATGTTAACATACCTTAATACTCTTGATATGGGATGCAGCTTCCACAAGGACTTTATCGGAAGATTTATCCAGCAAAAATTCAATGACTCCATCTTTGTTGTAAAGTCTATAGCAAAAAATATATGATGAAAAATAGGTTAACTTTCTAATTCAAACTTATTCAAAACATGTGACTTTGTCTGAAAAAGAATTTAAAGTGTAATCTTACCTGCCAAGTTCACAAGCTACTATAGGTCGGTTTAATTTTTCTTGACTTAGAGTGCAATAGTACCATTGGGCTACTAATTCTGCATTTTTGTCAACCTGAGGAATATGACAAATTATATACAGTTTTAGAAAAAGAAATATTGTTAAATTCAAAATCTTTCTACTTACATGTAATTTTTTTGCCCCATTTGGATTTGCAAAGGTGTCCTATACACGGAAAAATTAGGGTTTGGTCAACTAAACTACATATATACTTCTTTATTGGAAGTCTAAGTAACACAGAATAGATATTACTGTGTGCCATGATCTATGTAGATTTTCTTTCTCCAAGACTATACTGGCTTTTTTAGTTGCTGCTTCACATCATACCAGTTACTTTCAGAAGGCTACATTTCTACTTTATAAGCATAAAATGATTTTTTATTTTATTATGAAATATTTATACCTCCCTACTCTTCGTGACCCTGGCAGCACCCAGATAAAAACACAGAGAGTATTAACACTGTAGTAAAAAACAAAACAAAACAAGTGGCACAAACCAAGCAACAAGCAGCAAACCCATTATACCTAGAAAGGGGCTTCAATCACCCTCACAAAAATGAAGTAACCACAGAAATAAGCAAAAACCCACAACATAATGTATTTCTGTGCTTATTTCATCATGCTTATTCGAGTCAAAACTGAGTCTGGCTGCCGACACAGCGACAAGTATATGCTCATCTGGATATTTGTAATATTGAAGAACAAGTTATAATCTCACATTTTGAGTTGGTGAAAAGCCTTACCCCATTTCAACGCTTACTCTGACATGGCCTTTTTCTATCTTGTGGCCAACCTCCTCGAATATTTGAAATTATGTGGATACATTCATACATACATACATATCAATCACGTAAAAACAAACATAGTATAATAATCTGATCATAATGGAATATGCTCCCCTGACAGCCTGGGTATAGCAAATCCCACCCACACGTCCTCATTAAAAAGAAAAGCTTGCCGTTTTAATCAAACCGACTCCTAGCTCCCTCTTTATTTCTGGAATTACTTTTCCCATAAGCAAGTTAACGTTATGAAACTCGATGAAACTCCTGTCTGCTATAGTAGTGGATCTATCTAGGCCACCATTTCTCTATTCCGGGACGGAACACACCACCAGCCGGAGCTCTCCTTTCTCACCCCGGCCTCACCTTCTCCACCTTACGAGGGCCCTTCACCAGCTCGTGCCGCTTCGGGATGGTTCCTCCATCGCAACCCATTTCGCCTTCAACTTGCTTTCTGTAAGTTCCGGGTTGCCAAGCAGAAAGAGTCTTCCGGTCAGATGACCCGAGCTTTCCGGCGCAGAACGGCGCAGAACGGCGACATAGCGGGCAAGGCGTGATGACGTTTGCAGTTATGTTACTCGGGTAACCTAGTAACGAAGCGGCTTCCCAAGGCGGAAGTTTCTCCTTGGGCCTGTATTCGCACTGAGACACAAATTAGACAACCACACGTTACTCTAGGGCAGGGGTAGGCAACCTTGGCTCTTTTATGACTCATGAACTTCAATTCCCAGAATTCCTGAGCCAGCTATGCTGGCTCAGGAATTCTGGGAGTTGAAGTCCATGAGTCATAAAAGAGCCAAGGTTGCCTACCCCTGCTCTAGGGCAATGTTTCTCAATCTTGTCAACTGGAAGATGTGTGGACTTCAGCTTCAAGCCTGGCTGAGGAATTCTGGGAGTTGAAGTCCATGAGTCATAAAAGAGCCAAGGTTGCCTACCCCTGCTCTAGGGCAATGTTT